GTGTGTGTGTGTGTGTGTGTGTGTGTGTGTGTGTGTGTGTGTGTGTGCATGATCTGAAGAGCAGGGCTGTGTTTCTCTGCAGGGATTTGGCCTCGGGCTCCATGTGTCTAGTGGAGATGAACACTACACGCCTTCGATTCGCCTCGTCCTCTCCGCCATAACACACTGCTGCACATCTCTTTCTGCCTCTCTTGTTGTGTCCTTGGATACCTCACATCTTCCTCTGCAATTTACCAAGTTGATTCTTTGTTCTGCTGCATCTCTTTCTGGCCGAAAATGACGCGTAGAAATCAAAGTCTGACGCTTTTAATGCGGAAACAAAATGTGTATTCTCGCATTCCTCTTCCATGATGAGAATATACTCTCTGCACTATTGTGTGCAAGGCCGCAGTGTTGGAGCTTAACTGATGACAGCACAGACTGGATACTGTGGGCTACTCACAGATGGCCACCTTGTAAGTTGTCACAAGTGGAAAGCACTTTGTGTGTGTGTGTGTGTGTGTGTGTGTGTGTGTGAGAGAGAGAACGATCGTACAGGTCAGTAATTGGAGTCAAGCCATATAGGTCTCTCTGAGTGTGAATGAATAATTTATAGAAGCAGCGCCGTCACTCTCTTTTCACTCTGTGTGCGTCTCTCTCATCCTCTGAATGTTTCCATAATAATGAGGGAAGTCCCTATGGAGGAACCTGCTGCCAGTGCGGGCAGGTAGCCAACAACACAGGGCAAAAGTTTAGTACAAACACACACTCTCTCACACATACACACATATACATTGAGCATTTTACATTCAACGTCAACAGCGACTGCTACATTTCTGCTAGCAGCCATGAAACAGAAAGTCATCCGCCTTTCAATTCCTGGAAGCTCTTAGAGAGCGAGAAATCGCCTGCCTCGCTTCCTCGTGACATCATTGTACAATCGTCATGGGAAACGGGGACGGGAAGTGGTATAGACATGACCGCAGAGGGGGGCCGGAGAGGTTAGGAAGGCAAGTGGTGTGTGTGTGTGTGTGTGTGTGTGTGAGGGAACAGGGGGGTGGATCATTTCCTGCCCTCCCACCTCCTCTCACTTGTATTTGGGAAAATTATCCTTTGGCTAAACTTCCACAGTTTGATGCAGTCAACGAAGCTGTGACCACGCATCTGTTTACCACTGGGATGTACACCTCCCCCAAAAGAGCACTGGATGATTGACCTTTGACCTTTCGAGGACATAGGAGCGGCTGCATCTGGCGTATATGCCGTCCGATGACACTTTTTGTCGCAGAGGAAACGGAGCGGCCTCAGTAAGTTTGGTATTCCGTGCGGAGGACGAGCGCGTATGTCTGGTTCAGTGTCGCGCTGAGTTGAATTCCCCGGCAGCCTATCAGCGGACCTGGCTGTCGTCCAGATAATTTGTCTTCGTTAAGGCTGGGAGTTTGGTTCGGTCCAGGATTTCATCTGTGTTGTCAGGAAGCCAACCGTGAAGGATGCGATGGAATCAGCATATGTATGTTGCTCAGTGAGTGTGTGTGTGTGTGAGTAGGATTTAAAAACAATGTTCATCATGGATGCATGGACGCATGAATTCAGGTTCAAATATTTCCTGTCCCTGGTGGGGATTTTAGCTTCAAGCAAGGTGCACAGGACAGCATGTTATTGAGACATATAGAAACATGATGTCCCACAAAGCTTCAGAGCTTTAACTGCATTTAGTATCATCACCATTTTCTTTTGACTTTTAGTTCATCCTCCTGCTGCTCTAACAAACGTACTGTTGCATGCAGCACACATTCAATTGGGACATACTACTTCCTCATAACATGGCACCTTGAGCTTTGACCCTCTTGCTTATATATCTGCCGCGCAAAGGATTGTGGGTCAGAATAGCCAGAGAAGCATGTTGGCCTGCATTCTGCAAAAATGTGACCGGATGTAGTGGAACATCCTGGTATGTTTTGGCATACTGCCTTTGACATACTATGTATTGGGACATACAGTACTGAAGCTTGTTTCTGGTAGTATGGGTATTAAAGAGCAGTCCCAGTGTGGCTGCTTGTGGTGCTGCTGAATGGTATGGCATTGTACTTTTACGTGTTTCTAATATTTTTTTCTAATTGATTATAAACATCTGTTCTTTTTCTCCCTCGCTGGGGCTCTTGAGTGTTGCTCTGATAAAAGCGGGCTTGTCGAGAGTAATCGTCTCTCTCATCGCTGCTGATCCAAGATGACGACCTTACCAGCGGCCTCCCCCTCCCTATAGTTTCCATGTGTTGCATCATGACTGTAATATCCCCATTAGAAGCACCGGAGGTTGATACGGCCCGGCACATGGCGATCTACGTTTCCACACAGGCTCCCGCTGCTTGTGTAATGGTTTGAAATCGGTTGTGGCCTCACGCAGGCGAGGGAATGTGACTCTTTTTTTGAATCTCGCTGCATCTCTTTCCAGAGAAAGAGGCATTGTATCAACTCAAAATGTTCTTTTCTTGCTCCCTGTTAATCCTTGTGCTTTTTTTTCTTGTAAATCCTATCGGTCCTCCCAATCCACTTCTGTTTTTGATGTCTATTTCTGTCTCTGTGTTTAATTGTTAAAGGAATGGAATATTAACACGCACTGTGTCTCTCTCTTAGACGGAGAATGGCAGTGCCCTCCATGAGGCAGCTCTCTGTGGGAAGATGGATGTAGTTCGCCTTCTGCTTGACTCAGGTGGGTCTATAAATACATCCTGGAAAACAAAAGAAACAGTGTGTTCCCTTGTTTTTCTCTTTTATTTCGACTTGGGGCTGGATGCCCACGGTGCTCTTTTTCTCTCCAGATTGTGGGTTGAATTTGCCCTCAGGTGAACTCCAGGCATCCGTCTGCTGCATTCTGTCTCACTGTTATGAAATCCTAGACTTTCGACTTTATTATTGTTTTGGCCATTTCTTTCAATTGTATCAAGAGGAGTCGCAGAAAGTTCAACAGGATACGATGCGTGATGTCGCCTTTTGATGATGTCACTCGACTTGAAAATGGGTCAAGGTGATTAGTGACAAAAATCCCATCTTACACACATTAACACACATTAACATTAACGCTTGTTGTATTGAGAGCTGATCGATTCTGAACACTGTTGACTCTTTGATACCGCCCCCAACACTCCACCCACTTTCCTTAAGCACTTCCTGTTTCCCGCAGGACTTCCTGTGGGCGGCCATGCTCTTTTGGCCTCGATTTTATTAACATCCTGGATCAACAAGGGGCCTGGTTCACTAAACTCAAACCCGACACAACCCTTCAAACATAGTGGGTATGTGTTTGGGTTGGGAGGTAGTCGTAGGGATGCAGGATGGGCAGACAGCCTTTCATTGTTGATCTTGAACTATGCAGAGAAACAGCTCAGGATGTTGAAATGTACAACCAGCGCACCAAAGATATCTTTGGATTTACTGATGAGCATTGCCACTTTTTTCTGACCAACTGAACTTAGAAATGCTTTTGTCGAGGCATTCTCGAAGGATAGAGAATCAAAGTGTTTTCTGGAGCTTTTAACCACATCACGCAGGAGATATAACTTGTTCATTAGTGAGCTTTGGAGAAGCTGGTGAGCTGATTTTGTTACCTCAGGCAGGCTAGCTGTTTTCCAGACGTTTCTATGCTAAGCTTACCAGCTTCTGGAAGGAAGTGTCATATTTACTGTACAATTGAGTGATGTCGATCTTCTCATCTTACATCTTATAACATCAAGCATCAAAGTTAATTATTCATTCTATTCTGTTTTTGAATTTACAATAAATGCACAAAACACGAGGAAACATCCGTGAAAATTCTATTAAATATGTGTTAAATGTGTAAAAAAGTAAGCAGGAACGAGAGAAAACTTGCACTTTCTATTAGGTTCCAAATGTGCTTTCTCTCAGTTTTCGACGTTTTTCTTTCATGCTGCTCAGCAGAGTGACTGGAATGCCATTTATTTTTTGTGTTGAATTGGACCCATGAGCGCAGGAATGGATTAAAAAGGCTAACAGTCGGATAAATGGGGATTTATTGTAGAAGAAAGATTGTGTTTGTTTCTGCTCACAATTGAGTTTGTTTGTTTGTGTGTGTATCTTGTGTGTGCTTTGTGTGTAAGCCTCTTGTTTGTGTGCGTTTGCTTTTTATGATCGTGTCATTGCCTGTGATTTAGCGAGGTAAAAACGTGGAGGAGTGTGTGCGCTCCTCGACAACAAACTCGATGAAAAGCGTATTACGCTGTTCGTAAAGAGTCTTCATGAATTTATAATATCCCACATCCGTCCTCTGGTGACTGCAACTCATTCATCTTTTGCTGACTGGAGTTTTGTGACCATGTGTCAGCAGGTCTCAGTCTGTGCATGTGTACTGCATGTCTTGTGTCTGTAGTTCAGGTTCTTTGAGCAAAGTATGAGAAGGTTTATCTTGTTCAGCCCAAGTCATGGGCGTTGTGTTGCCCCGTTGTTCACGTGTATCAATGCTTGTACTGTGTGTGTGTGTGTGTGTGTGTGTGTGTGTGTGTGTGTGTGTGTCTCAGAGATCGACACCAATCTCAAAAACAGCCAGGGGAGAACAGCTCTGGAGATCCTGAGAGAGCATCCTGCACCGAAATCCCAGCAGATCACTGCTCTTATCCAAGGTAAGACACACACACACACACACACACACACACACACACACACAGGTGAATTGAGGTGAATTGAGTGAATTGAATTTCACTTGAGAAATTGGGTCATTTCCGGAGCAAAAAAGTAGAATACTCACACACAGTAAATGTAGTACAACATTTGTGACATTTAACTTGGCAACTTAATGAATCCTACAGACATGTTAACCTGCAGTCTATATATATATATATATGTTTTTGGTATGTGGACTCGGAGTATGACATTGTGACCGTTGTTGGGCATCTAATGAAAGTTGAACGTGAACATGTTTGGCGAGCACATCTTATTGCAGAAAGCCACAAAGAAACAGGTTTTAAAGTGTTTCCAGTGAAATCAGGATATTGCGATGAGGAAGAACTGTTCAAAAATCTTTAAATGTTAAATTATGCTTTTTGAATTAACATGCTCGTGCCTGCCAAAATCTGTTTTTGCTGGAAGCATACCATAGGGAGCAAAAGAGACGTGCTTTTGCTTTTAAAACAGACATTATTCATTTTGCTACTTAAAAATCTGACTCATAATGTAACCAGTCAGTCCTTTTTAGAAAAAGAAAAACAAGTGTTCAGTGTTTTCTTCAGTCCTCCACCTGCCATTAAGATGCCTGTTTGTGCTCTCATGTTTACTGCAGTGTGTGTATTTTGTGTGTGACCAGTGATTGTTGGTGTGAGTTTACTCACACAGTCCCTGGGGACCCAACGTTTCTCCAGATTGTCTCTTCTAAAGAGACAATCTTGTCCTGAGGATGATTACAAGGCTCAGCATGAACGCTGTAATCTGTGGCTTGGAGGCCTTCGCTATCTGTCCTCGTGTAGTCTGTGTGTGTGTGTCAGGCACGCAGTTACAGATGATTGAAAGAGAGGGAGATAATGGCAGACAGAAATGGCGGGATTGAGGGATGAGGAGAATATGTTGGACCCTAAATTAACAGCCAGGTGGTTTTACTGTAACTTGGAGGTAAATAAATTTTGGGAATGTTATAAAATTGGCCACACTTTTTTAAAATAGCAACATAAAGCTGACATTAACCAAGGGAAAACACAGAGATGCAACGGGCAGAGTAATTTAGTTGTAATTGGCGATTCCAGTTTACCATTTCAGGGAAACTGTAACGCTCAAAGCATCTGATATATACGCATAAAATACATTTCAGCTGGTTGGTTTCACGGCCTACAACCGAACTGTTTTGGTTTATTCTTACGGCTCTCATCAATGGTAAACAGAGCTTTGCTTCACAGGATGAGTTTGTACTGACTGACCTCTGGTGCGTCTGTGGGGTTGAACAGGTTAATGCAGCAGTTTAATGTCTTTCTCACTTGAACTTTATTCAGCATCCTTTGAATTCTGCTGCTCAACTCCTGAGCAGTGCCTTTATGTCACTCCGAATATTCGCACATATGCAGTGAACACTGCTTTCATGAAACTAAAAGACTATTTGATGTGCAGACTCGGTGATGGAAACACTTCTATAGACTTGTAGCTTTTTTAAATGTCAAAATCCCATGTGATAGTAGATATTGTTGAGGAATCGCGGCCATCCAAATCTAATCTCAACAAACCAGCGCAGGGGAAAAAGGAGAGATTTGGACTTCAGCGTAAATAGGAGACTGGATGTGTGTGTGTGTGTGTGTGTGTGTGTGTGTGAGAGAGCGAGGAATGAAAGCGAGATAGTGAGAGAGAAAAAAGGACACAGCTGTGACTTGGTGAAAAGATCAGCTGCATCCCATTTCCTGTTGGGGAGGAGATGGAGAAGGACACACACAAAGAGGAGAGGACCTCTCATTTGCTGAATTGTACCAGCTGAGGGACTTTCTGGTTGCCACAGGCACCTCATTATGAGTAGGTTGTCATTTGATTTGCGGCGCATGACTCGTATCGCTGTTTGAATTCATTTACAGTTCACTTTCTACTGCCCAGCAGCAACTGGTTATGTACTTGCAGTGCAGTAGTTTAGCCGTGCCTCTGCTGACGAATGACTACAGGGGGAATAAAACTGTCAAGCAATTTAATGACATCAAATGAGCATTAAATGACTCTGATGCACTTCCCCATACTCGATTGTAATTGTATGCAAACATGGTTGTGTATCATTATTGTCCAGCTGAATGCCAAGATACACAGTGGTAGAAATACACACACTCTCCCGACGTTAATAGGATTCCTCATTCGGGCTCTGCAGGGAATCTGCCACACAATTAGAGCGTTTGTGTGTTTTTTGGGCAGCTAATGCCTCACTTAAGAAAGTTCATCATCCAGTCTTCAACTTAGTTTCTGCCACACCTGAACCTGCTTCCTCCACTCTCTTTCTTTTCCCACTCAATCCTTCTCTTTAGCTTTTTTTTTTATGAACAGCAGAGTGCTCTATTAGCACAAGCTGCGGCGTGGGGAAGAGTGTGAATTGAATGCAGCACAAGCTGTTTACCAATGCTGATGGCCGTGCTATTATATCGATCCAGTAAAAAGGCCTCTGAAATGCTTTTCCTCCCCCATCCCTCCCACACCGACACATTCTCCTCCAAACTCCTCTTCTCTCTTCCTCCTCTTTCCTCAACATATGTTCCCCTCTCTCTTCTCTTTCATTGTCTCATCCTCCATCTTCTTACCCCCTTGGCTCTGTTTGTGTCCATTTCTCTGCAGAATATATGATTGACGAGATGGAGATGGAGATGAGTATCATGGAGGAGCCTATTTGCAAGTGTCCCATCCCTGCACCTCGAACCTCTGTTCCCTCGCCCTGTGCCTCCCCCTCCCTCAGACACAAGAGTGAGTATACACAATGATGCAACAACAACTACGCAATAATTGGGTTTACACTGAGAATAAAGGTGCTCAAAAGTATTTTTTTTATTGTTTTGTGACCAGAAATGTACCAATCCAAGTGGGGGAAGATTTCCTTTTGAGAAAGCGACAGAACATTTTACATGAGGTTCATAATATGTTTTAGAATATGCCTGAACATATCAGAAATAATCACCATAAATGATTACTGTAAGAAAAGGGAATACGCTGAGGGCAAACTCATTTATTTTTGCAATATGGGCGAACAATACCACATAAATCCAGCCACGGAGAGCAGCTCCTCTCGTGGAGAAACACAGTTACTGCCGCTCTGAAGTGCCGCACAGTTTCCCTGTGCAGCGCTGCCCCCTGTGTTGTGAATGTAACATTGCAGCAAGCTGAGTTCCCTCTGATCGGCTCTCTGCCTGGATCAGAAACCATTAGTCTGGTGATAAATCCCCCTAACAGGATCTTAAAAAGAACGTCTTCTTGATTACTGTGCAGTCTGTTTTAGGGTTATTTTCTTTGCCACTTTTGTACTAGCAGTGACAGGGACTGGCTTCATACCGATGCTTATAGGAACACTCGACATTTTTCTTACTTTCCACTCGGCTCTCTTCCTCCTCTCCCCAGATGATGCTGTGACAAGTGAACTGTCCAAGCTGCTCCACGAGATCAAAAAGTGCCGGGACAGGGACTACTCCTTCGAGGAGCTCTGTCACACCATCTCCTCCCACTCCATGGACAGCTTCGGCAGCGGGCGGCTCTCAGACGAGGAGCGCCCAGATCGACCCAACGGCACCCTGACTCGAGTCAAGGTACGGCGCTCAGTTGTGACAGAGGATTGGTGTGTTGGGAGAAAGAACCATGTCACTTTATTTACCCCTGGTCCTGCTCCTGTCTTGAAGGACTTCTTGTGAACTCAAACTCCTGAGTTAACAAGTCACAACTCATCACATGTTCAACCACAAATTGGATCCAGCAAACAGTAATATTATGTCGGTGGCTGTTGTATGTTGAGTTGCACAGAGGAAGTTTGTACTGGAGCAGCTTTTCAGTGTGTAAATATACTGCATATATATATAGCGCTCCGATACAAAGCTCTTAACCCTCCATCAACCCATTCACACACTCACAGACTGATGGCAGCCAGCTACCATGCATGACACTCGCCTCACAAATGGGAGCAATCAGGGGGTCATTGACTTGCTCAAGGACATTTTTGACATGCCAGACGTTGAACCTCCAACCATGCAGCAAGTGGACAACCTGCTCTACCTGCTAGCCACAGCCGCTCCATATCAGAACTTCAGTCAAGTTATTAATTAGTCACCAAAGAATCAATCGACAGCAATATTGGTAAACGGTCGACTGTTGCAGGCGTTAATGCTTTTCTCTGTGTTGTTTCTAAGACTACAGACTAAACAATTAACTGATTGATCAAAGAATCTGATTAGTTTTAAGTTAAGATTTTTTAGTTGCAGCCATAATTAAAACTCAACATCAGTGTTTTTCTCTTGATGTTGTTGTATCACAGCACAAAGGGTCCAGATAGTAAGTACTGTATGTATGTATGCGTGTGTGTTTGTAGTTTGCTTGCTTGCACTTTGTCTATTCTGACAACAGAGGGCAGTATCAGATCGACTGATGCAGCTGAGCCGACTTCTCCAATTGAGTATTCACTCGGCGTTGAAACACAACAGCTACTGTTTATTGTTCGCCTGAATTAGTTTAGAATTGTAATTACTTTTTGTGCTCAAACAGCCGTTCACATTCAGCAGACGTTCTTCTTGACCTCGCGTCTTCTCATTAGCTGCCTTTCATGCTGAAATATTGTGAGTAGAATCTACTTCTCCTGTTTCCTCTCTCAGTCACACACACACACACACACACACAAAGGAAAACTGACTGGATGTTATTGGACCTTATTGGTTCTTATTGGTTTGAATTCCAGTTTGGAGATGAAATAGCTGACTTTCATCAGTATTAGCCGACCAGAGAACCACAGCTGCAGCTTATTTCTAACAGCCAGCGCAGCGTGACGGAGAGGCTCTGAGCTTTTTCAATTCCACTGCCCAGGAAGTCAGACGCACCGCAGGACACAGAGGTCTTCTATCACACTGACCCCCCACCTGAGCCTTTAGACCACAAACAAACACACACAAACAAACACACACACACACACACACACACATATACAGAGAAGAGGCATCCAAAGAAATGCGTTTGTCTGTGTCTGTGCTTCTCGCTTGCTTATTTACGGCATGTCTGTTTCAATTTTTCTTTCTATTTCTCTTCTCGCTCACCTACAGCAACACACACACACACACACACACACACACACCTTACACACACACAGACACACACCTCAGTGAGTTAATATTTTGACACTGATTAATAGCTCATCATCTTTTCCATTTCTGTAAAAGGCTCAATATGAAAGCAAGCCGAGGAATGTTTACGTACAGTGCAGCGGGCGTTCACAACCTGTGCGTGCTCGTTGAACCTCCGCTCATTATCTCCGACAGGAGGATCACGCAATCGGTCGCGTGCGTGAGTGAGTGTGCACCTCTGTGTCTGTCCACGGCTAATCTCTCATTCTGCTGCAGCAAACTGCATAATGTTTTGGGTGACCAGCAATGGCAACTAACGGACCAGTTAACGCACTGCTGAGTAACGTTGCATCGCCGCCATTTAGCCGCTTCTCCACCGGCACACAGCTGCGTGAGTTTAATTTCGTTTTTTGCTAGACTTAATGACGTGTCTTATACGACGACTTAGAGTCGATTGCCTGCGTCACCACTTGTTTTTGAGTTTGAGTGAAGTGGGTTTTACAAAGTCTTTCAGCCTATAAGTGTCTAGATGGGGGGGGGGAGGGGGGATCCACCTGGCAGGGATCTACACTCTGTTGAGTGCACCTTTCTAGTTTTGGATGTAATTATCTCAATCCATCTTCTCTCTCTCTCACAGTACCTATTTGTATTCTATTACTGACATTCACAGTGTGCATGTGTGTTTATGTGCCCGCAGGCTACTGTCTGTACATGTGGCTGGAGCTATTAGTATATGATTCAATGTGTCTGTTACACATGATAAAACATGCAAAAACCGCACACAGCACACACACACAGTAACGCCTTGGTACCCATTGTGTGTAAACCGAGCAATAATGGAAATGCACGCTTGTGTGTGTCCTGTATTCAAATGAGCCCTCTATACTCTGTGTGTTCATTGTGGTTGAACCAGTATCTGTCTCTGAAAGACAATTCCAGAAAGCAGCAAATTATCATATTTGAGAAGCTGGAACCAGCAAATGTTTTTCAGTTCGTGCTTGTGGATTAATTTTCTGTTGCTTGACTTGTAACATTCACTGATTTCCTTTGCCTTAAGCCTCTGCGGGTTAGAAATGCAGTGTTTAAATCAAAGAACACATTTTACTCTACAGTCTACAGCCACGTTTTACAGCTCTGTGAGGCTGTAATTGGGCACAACGGTGCTTTGAGCTCCATGCTAACATCGGCTTGCTAACATGCTTACAGTGACAAAACATTAGCAGATTACGAGGTTTACCGTCTCAGTTTAACCTCTCTGCATGCTAGAATTTGCTAATTAGCACTAAACACAAAGTACAGCTGAGTACTTGAACAGTGTTTCATAGCAACAGGAAAACTTGTGAATGTGTGGGGACATACATTTGGGAAAACCAATAAGAAATAGCCAATCTTTCCGTTTACTTATGTAGTTCATATGGAGGCATCAATATTAAACAGTCTGTTTCATAACCAGTTAAAAGTTCCTCAAAGTAACTTTAAGTATAGGAAAAAAATCCCAAAATGATAATCTATATCTTCAAGGGTTTCCCGTGCACAACTACTGTAATATTGATCAGCTATGCATTATTATTGAACACTGACAGATATCTGAATTTTACTGTAATGGAAGGATATCTGTTGTTCATGCAGTCATACAGTGCAGTGTGTGTGTGTGTGTGTGTGTGTGTGTGCGCGTGTGTGAGGACTTCATCACGTTTGACATCTATCAACATTCTAGTGTTGCAGAGGGCCCTTTGCAATCTGGAGCGACTGGTGACCTTTTGGTTCTCATTTTCTGCCTGCACCTCCAGTCTGGCTGCTGTTCTTTTGCTCTTCCCATCTGTCCATCCCTCCCTCTGCATCTTCTCTTGGTTTCATTTCTCACAGTTGTCCTCCAGCACCTCTTCCTGTTTCGAACATGTCCTTAACGCTCCTCTCTTAATCCTCTCCCTCTTTACCCTAATTTCTTTGCCCTCCTGCTTATTTTTAGACCTTCATTCTAAAGATGATTTTTCTCTCATCATCAGACTTCCCTCGGCTCTCTCCCTTTGCCCCTCTTTTAAGGCTACATGTCAGACGATGCTCTGGTATCCGTCTACGTAATCTGCTGTGACCGGCGTCCTTTGCCGCATTATGTGGTTCACTGAGATATCAGATGGGCCGTACGCGTCCTGTGGCACCTCATACCACGGAGCTCATCCACACACCTGCCTCCTGGGAGCCAAAGAGCCCCAGGAAAGGACACGGTGTGCATGTGTGTGTGTGTGATACAGTGTGTTCTGCTGTTCCTGGATCTTTCTCCTTTCGGGTTAACTCATTGTGGCTGCCAGAGCAGCAATGCGAAGGCATTTTCTACTTTAAATGATGTGTTTTTTTCTAAAATGAGCATCAGCATCCTAAGAAAGGAATATTGAGGCTGAATACAAATGAAGATTTTGATTTCGGTGAAATCCTTGAAGCTTTTGATTTGCACATTGAGGACATTTTGAGTGATCTCACCCAACCTGCAGCAATTTAGTTTAGCTCTTAAAATAAAATGAAATGACTAAAAGGTTTTTGTATACATGAGTGCCTGTTTACAATTTGCTTTGACCCTTACATTTACGGATTTATGCTAAATAAACTAAATATCGTTAGCTTAGAATGAGCTGTTTATTTCTACATAGGGAGCAGAGTCCCCCATGTTTCTACAGTAGCCCAGAACAGACAAACCAAACACTGGCTCTAGAGAGAGCCTTTTGCGTTTTTATGTCACCCGAAGGCCACCGTAGTTCTCCGACACACTTGGGAAGGGAGGAGTGAGCGGAGGGGTACTTAGTTGGGCAGCAATCTGCAACCTCACCGCTAGATGCCACTAAATCTCACACACTGTTTAATTTAAATGTCTTCTCGCAATGTATAAACAAATCATCTCTCTTTTCAGCTCTTTATTTCATCCCCAGTTTGTTATTTGTGTACGCAGCGGCCGACCCCACCTCTGGCTGTGGCTCTGGAGGAGGAGGAGGCAGAAAAGAGTTGCGGCCCCACTGGATTCTGGGAGGCCCTGACACCCTGCAACGGCTGCCGCAACCTGGGCTTTTCCAGCCTATCACAGGTACACGCGCGCACACACACACACACACACACACACACACACACACACACACACACACACACACA